CCCTGAGTGACCCGAGTGACCCCTGAGTGACCCCTGAGTGACCCTGAGTGACCCCTGAGTGACCCTGAGTGACCCCTGAGTGACCCCTGAGTGACCCCGCAGTGTCCCCACGGCCGCCGGGCCCCTGCTGCGTTTGGCCGATTCCTGACCCGGAAGATCCGGAACCTTCCAGAGGATTCTTTCAATCCCCGCCCCCGGAATTCCCGAGGGGGCGTGGCCTCGGTGCCGTTAATTAAATTAAATGTTAATTACCTGCCCTGGCCCCGCCCCCTCCGCGTTTGGCCCCGCCCACCGCGGGACGGGGGAGGGGCGATTTGGGGGGGCGGGGCTGAGTGCAATAAAAACAATAAAAAATTATAAAAACAATAAAAAATAATAAAAGCAATTAAAAACAATAAAAACAGTTAAAAATAATAAAAACAATAAAAACAATTAAAAATAATAAAAACAATGAAAACAATTTAAAAAAATAAAAACAATAAAAAGCACAATAAAGAGAAGCAATAAAAGATAATAAAAACAATAAAAGAACAATGAAAATAATAAAAACAATGAAAGCAATAAAGAAACCAAATAAAAACAGTTAAAAAACAATGAAAAATATCAAAAAGCAATAAAAACAATAAAAAGCCCAATGAAAACTATAAAAAAACAATAAAACCAATAAAAAGACACAATAAAAACAATAAAAAACCACAAAAACAATAAAACCACAATAAAAAACAATAAAACCACAATAAAAACAATAAAAGCACAATAAAAACCCAATGAAAACTATAAAAAAAATAAGAAACACTGCAAACAATAAAAATCAATTAAAAACAATAAAAAACAATTAAAACCAGTAAAAACAAACAATAAAAACCCAAACTCGCCGATTCTGCCCCTGCGGGCCCCACCCCGCGCTGCCGTTGCCGCTTTAAGGCCGCGCCTCCACCGCCATCGCCGCTTTAAGGGCAGGTTCCGCCCCCCGGCACGTGACGCGCGGCGCTTCCGGTGCCTCTTAAAGGGGCCGCGATGTTGGCGCTGCTGCCGCTGCTGCTCGCCCTGGGCGCGGCCGCGCGCTGGGTCCCGACCCCCGACACGGTACCGGGACCCCCCCGGGACCCCCCCGGGACCGCCCCAACCCCCCCCGGGACCGGAGGAGTCTCCGGGAACCGTTCGGGGCTTCCGTTAGGGGGCCCCTCCCCCACCCCTAAAGCGGTGACAACCGGCGGGGGGAACCCCGGGACCCCCAGGGACCCTCTGAGACCCCCTCGGGACCCCCAAGGACCCCCAGGGACCCTCCGAGACCCCCCCAGGGATCCACAGAGACCCCCCCAGAGCCCCCCAGGACCTTCTCAGACCACCCCAGGACCCCCCTGATCCCCCTAAGTCCCCCCTTGGTGCCCCCCGGGAACCCCCAGCCCCCCCAGGACCCTCTGAGCCCCCCCCCCGAGCCCCCCCAAGCCCCCTCTTGGGAACCCCCGGGACCCCCGAGTCCCTCCGAGCCCCCCTGAGCCCCCCGGGACCCTCTCAGACCCCACCGGGACCCCCCTGAGCCCCCCCTAGGACCCCCCGGGCCCCCCCAGGACCCCCCGGGACCCCCCTGAGCCCCCCCGGGACCCCCCTGAGCCCCTCCCCGGTGTCCTCAGGTGCGGCCGCGGCTGCTGCGGGAGCAGG